GGGGTTTGTGGGCGCCGGCCCCGGCCCCGCCCTGCGGCAGCCCCTCCCCGGCCCAGCCCCGGGCTTTCCGCACCCCCGGCTGGGGCTGAAACGCTGAGGCATCCCCCTGGGCTCGAGCACCGGCACCCCGCTTCTTCGTCCGGAGCCAACTGGGATAACGAGGCCGTTTCTTTTTTGTCTCTTTCAGTAGGATTTAAATGAGCACGAGAAAAGCTTCACGGGTGATAATGTCTAAGACGTAGGCAAGTGCATAGATGATACGTACGCTCCGTTTCCACTCGCTACTGCAGAAGTGCTTTGTAGGCTAGGTGTGGTGCGTGAGCAGATGTGCTTTAATCACTGAGTAAAAGCCCTGCTCGTAAGAGTCCTATTTTTCTGGTGTGGGTAGAAAAGGAGCATTGGCTGTTGGAAAGGAACTGGCTGAAACATCGTGGTGGGCCACAGCTAGGTTTGCTGTTGATCGCCTGCCAAATGTTGCGAGATGTTAAATTCGATTCGGAGGATCCTGCCGGTCTCTATTTGTCCTGAAACTTCTCAGAGCCTCTTGTCAGAATAAGGCATTGCTTTTTGTTAACGTTTATTGAATTTTAACAGTCACCTGATGGTGAGTATAGGTGTTTCTCTGCCACAGTTGATTACGCTTTGCTGTCAGTTTGGTTTTGTGACGCGCTGTTTGTCCTTTCGCCCTCTCTGTCGGTCTTACTGGTCAGGCGAGGGTAGGCCTTGCTGGTAAATCTCACAGCTTGTATTTAAGCGTGAGGACAAAACTCTTGATAAAGCTCCTGCTAAGTACATAGACGGGCTGGAGAAAGTGGCTCAGGAGCTGGAGGTTGTAACCTAGAAATATCGGTCGTTTTTTTTTTGTTTAAACACCCGGTGCTGGGCTTGTGCCAGCAGAGCACATCTGGCAGTGAACGCACTGAACTGTGGTAGGGAGTGGACAGCTGCGTTTGTTGATTCAGGTCTAGTTAATTGCTAGTTAATGAACCTGTTTTGGGGGTCCGAGTTCATTCGGTTTCACTTACTGTTTGCAGACCGAGCTACTGGAGGTGCTGTAGCATATGCTGCAAAAGGAGTGATTCAGACAGCCTGAGAAACAGCAAACTTTGACATTTGTGCTGTTCCAGCTGCAGAGGAATTTGCTGATCCCTGTGTTCAGAGTTGTCTGTAAGCACACAGAAAAAAAAGCCTCCCTTAACTAAGAGTTGAGAGGAGTAAGTTGTTCGCTGCTTGAGCGTGGCTACTGTAATAATTTACCCCAGTGGTGTACTGGTGGAAAGTAGAATGGTAAGGGGATATTTCCAAGGCAGAGGCAATTGATCTGATTTCCTGCGTTCAACACAGGAGTTCCCGTGTGCCGGTAACAAGCTTTGCAAAGAATTTGGATGGTGTAGGAATGTTTTTGAAATCAAACATTGTGTAAATTGCGTAGACCCAGTTATTTCACAATTGCAAATCTAGAGAGTCCTGTGCAGAAGAGGGAGCAGCAACTTCTCTGAGTCTGTTTCTAGGTCTTGGGGTTTGCTGCTTCCTTATCTTGCTGGGCAGGCAGGGGCCACGTTGAGTGGATCGCCTCATGCTTGGGCCTTATCAAGTTTTTCTGCAGCGGCTGGAGGAGTGGTCCCAGATGTCTTATCAGAGCAGACCCGTGTGGCTGGCATCCTCTCCTCTTTCGGGGAATCCATTGACTTTGTTTAAGGGCCTGTGCCAATTCGAATGTAGCAGTAGTAAAGGGAAGTAGCATTATTTTTAGAAGCTTTTAAATTTCTTCCATGCTGAGCCTGGCTTTGCCAGCGCGGGGTTTTGAGTGGTTGTGTTTGCCCACAGCAGCTGTTCTGCCTCGGCCATGGTTGGGGTTCGGTACAGGGTCTGTCGCTTCCTCTTCTGACTCGGCAGCGCTGCATGGTGCTACTTCTTCTCAAGCGCTGAAAAGTGAAGTAATTTCCTTTCAGGACCTCAAGCGTTCTGGGCTGCTGCTCGCTAGGACAGTATGGTTGTGGAGTATAAGTTCTTCACTAACACCAGGAATTGTGAGGAAAACTGACTGTCACGAACTCCTGAGGAATTCTGCTTCTGCACACACGGGCTGTTTATTCCAGCATACGCAGTCTTCAGTGTTAAAGGCTACAAGGGCGGCAGTAGCTTTCTGTAATGAGCGTTGAGTGTGGGAGTGTAAAATTCTGGTATTGTGTGTTGCAGAATGACCCTCTTGTGTCTCCTTGACCTCTGCGTGGTGTGAACCCCAGGCTACGTTAGTAACAGCTTTCCATTCAGCCCTTCCTAAGCGACAGTGGCACTGCGATTAGCCTATGCTGCCCTTCCCTCCTTGTTTCTTTCATTAGGACAGTTTGGCCCCTTGAGGAGGGTGGGAGAAGGCCCCCACAACACGCAGCTGTTTAAAAACTAGTGTTTGAATGCGGCTGTTCTGGGAAGGCCGGTGGTTTTGCTTTCACTTCACCCAGAACTGCATCCGATGTTATCTAATGCTTTGTCTATACTGGGGATTAATTAGTGTTATCCAAGTCTTTGCTAAAGCCAAGTTCCAGGCAGACTCAAGCTTAACAGTTTGCCTCACTAGTCTGGTGAAGGCAAATATCAGTGGTTTGGGGTCTTTTTGGCTCTGTAATTGTGGTGTGCGTTTGGGACAATGGGCTGCAGGACTCTTCCACCCCATCGCACTGAAGGCAGTCTGCAGGTTTTATGTACCGCTTTCTTTTCTCATTCAGTATTTCTTCTCCCGTAGGACTATATTTGCCCACGGTGTGAATCTGGTTTTATTGAAGAACTTCCTGAAGAGCCAAGGTAATGTGCTGCTCCAAAGGCTGTTGCTGGAATGAACTCAGTCTGCTTTGCTCTTTTCCTTTCTCTAGTTAAAAGGCAACGCTGAATGCTAAATACACCATTTTTACTACTTCTGCCCAATATTTGGCTTATCTTTCCTCACTATGGGTAGAGTGTGCTTAATTTGCATAGTTTGCATCTACAGGTAAATCAGCCATGGGAATGCTGAGTGTCACACATTGCTGGTAAAGGGCGGGGGAGGAATGGATTGATTTAAAACACACAAACAAAAAAAAGTGGTAGAGAGGCTTTCCCCATGGCATGTGGTAGCTCTGAACTAGTTTGAGTCATCAGGGTAGAGATAACCCTGTCAGAGCGGAGTCTGTGGAATGGAAAGTGTCTGTATGCTTCAGTGTATCATTTAATAACTTAGAGCAGCAACGGCAAAACATTTTGACTGAGACTTTGGACTCTGCACTGGTAGCAGCCGAGATCTGCGTTCACGTGCTTTACTGCTGACTCAGTAGTGGGACTGCTCTCTGGCAGTGTCAGAACGGGCAAGAGTAGGAGAAATGTCTTAAAATGTTTCAGGCACGTTTGCTGGACCTTGGCTGTGACAGGCTTCGGGGCAGGCAGCGTGCGGGCAGGCGTTCAGCACAAGGGCACGCTGAGCTGCGTGGGGGGGTGTGCCAGCCGCTTGTTGCTGCCTGCCGAGAGAGGTGGTCTCTCACAGACTGAGGTTTCTGTACTGACAAGGTGACGTTTGGTCTGACTGCACCAACCTTAGAGGCTGAAAATCCATCCTGGCTAATCCTAACTGTATTGGTGATTTCCTGTGACCTTGGGATAGTCACGTAATCGCTGAACCTTAGCTTTTTATTACCCTGAATGTCAAAGCGTAGACCTGGATACTGAGCGGTACATGTTCCTGCAACTTTCTAAAAGCAGAAGCCTAACAGTATTAAGAGTTTTCTTAATAATCTGCCCCATTTGGTCACATGCCTCTGCAATAGAGAAGTTCCTTTGATTCAAGATTAGGCTTAAGCACGTTTGGGTCATAGTGATCAGGGTTTGTACCTTAAGTCTTCTCTTCCTGGTGCTCCAGAGGATTAGCTGATTTGTTTGAGGTGGATTGTGCAGGGAATCCTTGCTTGACATCGTGGTTCAGTCACTTCTCTGTAACTTCATGAAATCAGAATCTAAAAAGGTGGGGAAAGATGGACGAAGATGTGGGAAAATTGATATGAACAATTAGAAAAACAGCAGCTGAGGGCGGACTGGTTTCTGTATGGAGCTGACCCTGCCCCGGGGCAGAAGGGAAGGTGCGCAGACCTCTGAGGTCCCTTCGAGCTCGGCACAGAAACAAACGGGTCACTTCCTGCGTGCTGTGACGTGCAGCTGCGGTGTCTGCTTTTCCTGTCAGGCTCATGTCCCTCACTCCCCTCTGCTGGGAACATCTTTTTGTAGCACCTTTCTGAGGCTTACCAGTGCTCCTCATTCTTTACAGGAATGCTGACAATGAGACCAGCTCCTCTACGTCAACCAGCGATCAGAGCAGGCATCCGTTTGAGGTGAGAGTGTCCTCTCTCTCTCTTCCAGCATTTTCTGCTTCGCCATTGAATTGAAGTATTTTTCCATTAGTACGTTGTTTAAATGTTCCCCTGATCATGACAAAATTTAGGAAGGGAGGTATTAATATTATCCACATGCTGCTCCTGAAATCTCTGCATGTCGTATTTTTACTGCGTGTTTTTAATAGGACCATCACTTGTAGCTTATTCTTGTTGTGAGGGGGCTAAGCTGGGATTTAGTGAGCTGTCTGGGTGTGTTGCTATGCAGTAGCCTCAGCTTAAAAGGCAGCAGTTGCATGCAGCAGCTAAAGAGAAACCAGGGAAGTTGTAGTTATTTCTTACCTTCGTACGTGGTTTCAGTCTGTGTCTGTTCCTCTCTAAGCTGCCTCTGCGAGTGCTCTGATCCACCCGTGTCAGCCAAGGCTTGTGAGTTGCTGGGGATCTGAAGAGACTAGTCTTTGTTGGAAGGCTGGTGAAATACCAGGCATGAAAGCTGAGAGCTGTTTCTCTCCTCGTTCCAATCTGTTCCCTGAATTCTCTCCCTCCCAGAACGTGGATCAGCACTTATTCACCTTGCCACAGGGCTATGGCCAATTCGCCTTCGGCATCTTTGATGACAGCTTTGAGTTTCCATTCGGGTCCAATGTGCAGTCGGAAGACAACAGGGACTCTGAGAACCGGAGGGAGCGAGAGCATCAGTCTCGGCATCGATACGGTGCAAGGCAGCCCCGAGCCCGTCTCGCCACACGCCGTGCCGCTGGCAGGCACGAGGGAGTTCCCACGCTAGAAGGGTGAGAACAACTGCCAGGTTCTTGTGGAGGAAGCCCCGTTATTTTTCACTCATGAGAGTTCGCTAAAAATCAGCCCACCCCTTGTTCTCATCTGAGCACAGCTGTCCAGGGCAACTCTTCCGTAGGTGCCCAGCTTTGCCCCTGTGAGCTCACGCTGCTGGATGGTCCGGATTCAGCTGGGCCTGCAGCTGTTGGCTAGTTCTTGCCTTGAGTTTATAGGGGCCATTTCTGAGCACAGTGGCATGGACAACAGCGCGGCTGGGAGTTTTGGCTGTTAAACCTGCAACGAGAAAGCATTCCCTGGTCATTACCCGGTATTACCAAAATGTTGTACTCGGTGCGAGGGGAAACGAGAGAAAACACTGGACAGCAAGACTAATGTTTCTTTAAGTGCATCCTGGAGAGCCACTTGCCGTCTTTGCCAGAAATTATCCCCTTACGAGTAAAATATTGAAACTGCTCTTTATCAATGAATAATCAGTTCATAAGATGCAATTGCTACAGGCTGTTTTTCCTTTTCCCTCTGATGATGCGACAGTGTTTAGCCAGTCCTTCCGTGTCATGTTTCTGCGCATTAGCAGGCACGAATTCTTATGTAATCCTGGTTTTCTTGTCTTTCAGAATTATCCAGCAGCTGGTCAATGGAATTATTGCACCTACAACAATACCAAACCTGGGACTGGGTCCTTGGTGAGTTGGAAGATGTACTGCTCTTTCTGACAGTGTTCTTGCTGGTACTCCCAGCCAAATTTAATTGTTGTCCTTATTCTTAAAGGGGAGTCTTGCATTCAAATCCAATGGACTACGCCTGGGGTGCCAACGGCTTGGATGCAATTATTACACAGGTAAAATTGGCATTATAATGGCGTCTCCTGTCCTCTTGTGCAGTGCCAAAAAATTGCCAGCAGCTGTTGTGATGCAGGGGGCAAACCACTGAAGGTGCAGAAATGGGAGACAAGGTCCACAGTGCAGGCGCTGCAGGGTTCCAGTGACCTGGTTCAATAAATGAACAGATTCTGTGTGCTGCTGAGCTCACGGCTTCTTTCTGCCTTCTGTGGCCTATTGTTTTTCCAGTTACTAAATCAGTTTGAAAACACTGGACCGCCGCCAGCAGACAAAGAAAAGATCCAGGCCCTCCCCACCATAGAGATCACACAGGAACACGTAGGTATGTATATCTCATCCAGGGAATCATTCCAAGAACTCTGTGAAAGTTCTGTTTAACGTTTTCTTGGGATCTTAATTTTGTCTGCTAGTACCTTCAAGGCCTAAAACATTGCAAAGAGGGGAGAAAGCTGAAGTGTTGCTCTGTTACATTCACAAAAAAAAAGAGCAGCGTAGACTGGTTGGATTTGCCCTGGGGAGGCAAACTGTTCTGTAAAGTTCAGTGTGGATAGAGATGAAAAAGCAGAAGGGAAGGGAACGATGAAGCAAACGCAGGGCAGTGAGGGGTGGAGTGATGGCGGTAGGAACTGCAGAGCGGCAAGCTTTCCTCTCTGCAGGGATGAAGCAGCAGTGGGGGGACGGGGAAGTGGTGATGGGATCCCGAGTTGGGTGCTTTGAGTGTCGTTCCCTCCTTTATTGCTTAGCCGTGTTTTGCTTTCTCCTTGTGACACAGATTCTGGGTTAGAGTGTCCTGTGTGTAAAGAAGACTATACAGTCGGTGAAAATGTCCGACAGTTACCCTGCAATCACCTATTCCACAACAGCTGTATCGTCCCTTGGCTGGAACAGGTTAGTGCCGCCTGAGCGGGTGACGGGGGTTTGGGGGCACTGGGGTGTTTTTTCTGGTGGTACTGTTCTCCTCTCTAAATATTTTCATACCTCCATGATGAGGCCTAAGCATGAGCAGCCTTTGATCAGAGGAAGGAGTGTCATCCTAGCCTTTTCCTTGAGTGCTGTTCCTGTATCGTGTTTCTAATCCCATTTCCCATATTTCTTGTTTTGTTTTTGTCTGCTCTCCAAAGCATGACACGTGTCCTGTGTGCCGGAAAAGCTTAAGTGGACAAAACACTGCCACAAACCCCCCAGGACTCACGGGGATGAACTTCTCATCATCCTCCTCCTCCTCTTCCTCCAGCTCACCAAGTAACGAAAACTCATCGAACAACTCATGAATCTTAATCCAACCCTCTGTCCCCGGGGCCCTGTCCATTGTCCTTCCTCCCTCCCCAGCCAACGTAAGCAACGAAAGGGGCTTCCAGAGCAGAGCGAGGGGAGGGTGGCGAGGGGGAAGCAGCACCCCCAGAATTCCCTTTTGAGTTCGGAAGACACGGAGACTCTGGGTCCTTCAGAGATGAGAAGCCTCAAGTTCTGTGATGGGGGGAGAGAGCTCCGTCTATTAATAAAAACACCTATTTGCCGCGTGGACTTTTAACCGTTGCAGTGAAAGGCTGCTGCGCTCCACAGATGGGAAACCTGAGGCGCTGAGCTAGCGGTTGCAATTCTAAATGGAAAGGTTGTTTGTATGGTTTGAATTTGAGATTCCTTTCTTTATTTCTTTTGCTCCTCCTCCTCCCCTTGGATATTATTTCTTCTGCTTTGGAGATTGAAGTCTTTAAAAAGAAAGTGTAACGTTACTGCCTCCCCCCCAGGATCTCCAGCTGGGGAGGGCCAATAGTTGTCACTGAAAAAATGAACTCTTGAAATAGACCCCGTTATCCTTCCCTTCCCCCTCTCAAGTCCCATTTATTTTTCTTTACGACCTCGCCCTTCTGATACTCAACACTGAAAGGGTTTTTATAATTTTAAATTATTACTGCTGTTAAATAAATGGACGTTTCAGCTCAACGAGGCGTTATGCATGATTTGAGGAAAACTTACAGGGTAAGCTCTCCGGAGACTGCTGTGCTGAGCCGTGCCGTTTCACCCCAGGGCAGGCTGGGCTTGTCCGAGCCCTCCCGTGCCGAGCGCAGGCATGCTGCGAGCTCCGGGCGCCAGGCTCCGATGTGACCAGCACCTGTACGTGCGTTGCCAGCCCGCGGATCGTTGAGCGGTTGGCTGCAGGATTGCAACTGAGAGCATCTTTGCCTGGTCTTTTGTATTTTTTACACCTTCTCCCTGTTGCAGTCCTGCCCTTCTCTCAGCCTGAGCAGACTTTTCCACTGTGTCGACATCAGGACTGGGTGCGCATCAGAAGAAGGACCAGCCAAATATCATTGTGATCAAATAATACACAGGAAAAACAACATTTTGGAGAAAAATGTATTTCAAAGCTACTTAAAATACAGCTGATTAAAAAAGGAGAGAGAGAGACAAATATCCAGGTGTGTTTGTGACTCAGTTTCTGGGACAGAGCTGGAGGTTGGAGAATGAGAAGAATGTGACCGGAGCGGGCAGCGACCTACCCGCGGCCTGCGTCCGTGCTCACCTGGGCCGGGAGGCGCGAGAGGGACAAAAACCCGGGGTCGCTTGGCGCTCTCGCCCAGGGCCTTCGCTTTTGGTCTGGTCGGGCCGAGTCCAGCGCAGCCCTGCCAGCTCCGGGAGAAGCCTGGGGCAGGGGCGCCGGGGGGAGACGCCCTTGGAGGAGTGCACGTGGGGAGGGGGCGCGAGGAGCAAGGTGGTGGCGTGTGGCTCCGAAGCGCTGGCCCGGGTGGCGTGGGACAGCATCACCTCATGCCCCTTTCCATTGCAGGGACTTCGGGCGGCCAGCGGGTCTCCCTGGCCCGCCAGCCGGGTGTTTGTGACGGTGCTGCGCGCTCCGGCCGCCTGTCAGCACCTTGCTGTGGCAGACACCGGAGCAGGAGATGGGGAGCCTGCCCCGGCTCTGCTGGGTGCGCTGGGCGGAGGCTTCAACGGCCTGGGAGGCTCCCTGCGTCTCCTCCGGCTTTTGGGGCCCTCTGAGCGCGCGGGGGGGGGCTGGGGAAGGCGCTGGCCTCCCTGGGCACTCGGGGTCCTGGTGCCAGCAGAGCTTTGGTGCCGCTTTCGAAGCAGCCTTTCCTGGGGACCTGGCCCTCCCTCCCGAGAGCTTCCTGCGAAGGGACGTGCCGCCCGTAGGAGGGGAAGGCAGGCGCTTGTTGGGGGTTTCTTCAGCCATTCTGGAGTAAGAGAAGGTTCGTTGGAGAAAATGTCCCAAACGCGGATGGCAAGCAGCCTTTGCCAAGCCTGCCGGGGCCACGCGGCCGGTGCTGAGCAACTCTGCTGGAATGTTTTTCCTCCTTGGCTTTGCCAGGGCAGCCAGGGCAGCCCAGCGGCGCCTTTCATCTCGGCGGGCGGATGCCTGCGGGACGAGGGTTTATCTCAGGACTGGTAGATCAGGGTTAATAGCTCATCCTCCGCCGGAGGTTGAGCCAGAAGCTTCTGCCACCAGGATCCGGAGCTTGGGAGGCGGGTGGCAGCAAGAAGGTCCCTGGCTGAGCCTGTGCGTGCCCATCGGCCGGGCCGGCATGGAGGAAGGCTTTGCTGTTTAGTCACCAAAACGCAGCCCGGGAGACCTGGAAAATCTTCTCCTGCCACGTTTCAGCTGCTGGCTGCAGTGCGGGGTTCCTGCCTCCCCCGAAGCTCAGGAGGCAATTTCTCACGTGTGAGCCATGCTTGGTTTCAAGTGGGCGAAGTGAAGCCTGCGGTGGGGCCACGGCTGCTGCCGACCCGCCTGGCAGGGGCTCCTGGCCAGGGCCGGTGCCCACCGCGGTCACCACACAGTCGAGGTGGTGGCTGTTCCCTCTCGCAGACTCGTTTGGAGCTGGTTGGGTAAGAAATGGAACAAGTTTGGTGGTTTTCGCTGGGGCCATTGCTCACGTCTGACGTGACAAAGTGACCAAGCTGCGATGCCTCGCTGCGGAGGGCGGCGCAGGAACGTGCCCTGGCCGGGAGGCCAAGGCGCAGGTGCTATTTCTGGCCGTGCTCCCCTCCAGGCGAGGGGCTGGTCCTCGCCACCAGCCGCCTTCCCGGCTCCATCTCTGCTGGGGACGATGGAGCAGAGCTGGGCTGAGGAGGGGCAGGACCAGCCTGGAGGCAGTGGCTGCAGCCTGGGGAGTTGGGGCTGGCTGGGGGCCGGCTGCCCCGCTGCACCTCGGGTCTCGGTCCAGGGCGTGGGTTGGGCACCATCCGCCCAAGCGGGAGCCTGTGGCCCAGGTGCTCCTGCTGGGGACGGGTCCCCAGCGCGGGTCTGCTCCCTTCTGCTCACGATGTCCTGGCTCGGAGTCTGCAGATGGGTGGGGAGCAGCGTCCCAGCTCCCTCCAGCCAGGGGCGGCCCCGGGGCTGGGGCTGCGTCTGCCCGAGGGTCTGGGCTGGCTCCTGCGCCGCTGCCCAGCACCTGCTCCTGCAGAGCCCGCTGCAATGCTGCAGCAGGATGTTTGGCTGCGACCGGGCTCTTGCTGTGGCACCGGGGACCCTCTCGACCCCTTGCCCCCTGTGCCTAGTGCCTTTGGGTCTCCAGGGCCGCGGCCCTTGCACAGAGCCTGGCGCCTGCTGGGGGATGCTCCTCCCTGGAGCTGCACCGCTCTGGCTGCGGGTCACACGTGCGTGTGCTTTGCTCCGGCACTAGCGCAGGGTCCGGGCTCTCCCACGCTAGCAGCTGCTTTTTCTGCTCCCTTCTTTGTGCCACCGAACGCCCATCGCTGTGTTTTCCTGCGGGTTAGGTTTTGGGTTGGGTGTCTCTCTGCCCACTTGCGCGGGTGAGGGTGTGGGTCGATGAGGAGCTGGATGCGGTGGGGGACCAGCTGGGCTCCCCACTGGTGGCAGCAGGGACGACGCTGGTGGCTGCAGCCGCGACCCCAGGGGAGCCAACCCCACCCAGCCTGAGCCAAGCCCACCGTCGAAGCTCCAAGACTCACTCCCCTTTCTGTACCACGAACACAGCTTTAATTGCCACAGGTGCTTGGACACAAGACAAATACGACCCGCCGTTACATCCCAGCCCCGCAGCCTCTGTCCCAGCCCCTGCAGAGACGCCGTTAGCAGAGCAACGGCCACCGGGTCCGGGCTGCGCGGGTGGGACGCAATGTCCACAGCCCCGGCACGTGGTGGCCGTGCTCCCCGGGCTGCACCGTGCCAGCTCTGCCTCGGTGGGATGGTGGGGAGAGCCGTGTCCCTGTGCGGCTCCAGGCTGCGTCTGGAGCATCTGCCTTCCGCATCCATCCGCCGTGCATTTAAAAATAAAACAATAAATAGCAAAAAAATAGATATGTACATAAATAAAATAACCCTTTTTTTCCATTTTTTTCCTACAGGACGGTCCGGAGCCGCCTGTGGGGCTCAGCTGACGAGCATGGGGAGGAAGTGGGTGGAGAGGTGCTGCCGGCGCGTCTTGCCCCCTCGCTGTGGCCTGCCCTTGCTATTGAGTGAGAGGAACATGGGGCGGCCCCGGTGCCGCCAGCGCAGCGACGCGTAGGTGTTGTAGCCGTTCTCCTCAATGCGCTCCGTGAACTTGCAGTTGGGGGTGAACTCCTTCTGGCAGGAGAGGGAAGGGGGTGAGGGGCGGCTGTGCTCAGCCAGGACCCGTCGTCACCCTGCTCCAGCGGGGTCAGACCCCAAGAGCGGGGCAGGGCAGGACCCCGGCTCCTCCCCGGTCCCTGGAGGGCAGAGGGGCTCTGTGGGTGCAGTCCCCCACTGGGGAGCAGGTCAGGGTGTGGGAAACCAGGAGCCCGCTCCTGGGCACTGGTCCCAGTGGATTTGGGACCCCCTGTTCCAGCTCTGCCCTGTGCCTCTGACCCCGGTCCGGTCCCGCCCGGGAGGCAGCGTCCGACCTACCGACCCGTAGAGCCTCCCCTGCTTGTTCATGGCCAGGTAGAAGCCAGTGTGCACCGCCCGGATGGCCACGACGCCGACACGCACCGACCGGATCTCGACGATGCCTGCAGGACAGGGAAGCGTGGCGGTGAGCCGAGGAAGGACAGGCGACCTCCCCGAGGGGCCCTGCCCCAACGCCAGGTCTGTGGCCGCAAAGTGCTGCCCTGGAGGGACGGGGCCGCTGCCCCTCGCCCAACACCGGAGCAGCCAGAGGGATGGCAGGAATGAGGGCTGCAGCCTGAGCCAGGAGCAGGAGGGGGAATCTCTGGTCGGGGGGGGGGATTTGATCTTTACTCCTCTCCTTCCCAGGGCCCAGCCGCTTCCCAGGAGCCGGGCTGCGCAGGAGCAATGCCAAGCACAACCTCCCCTTGCCTGGAACAACCTGTCAGCCTCTGCCTGGTGCCGAACTTGCCTTTATCCTACCCTCCTTGGCAGCTCTGCCCGTGCATCTGTCCTGAACCCGCCTGCGGTGCCCTGGGGACCCAACCCACCTCTTGCGGCACCCGGCCCACCGCGCACTCAAGGCACCGAGGCCAGCGTGGCCCTGGAGGGACAAAGTGTGCACGGGGGTAGCAGCGACGGCGCGCAGCTGCGTTACAGTGGACGGAGGCACTGGGGCAGAGGGCTGCAGGGGCGGGAATGCGGCCGGGACAGTGCTGCCCACGGATGCTGGTGCCAATCGCCCGGCTGGCACAAACATGGACATGCGGCCCTGCACCGGGGACTGCGGCGGGAGGGACGTGGCGGTGCTGCAGGGCCTGGGGACGAGCCCAGGAGGCAGCTACAGCCGGGCCGTGAAGCCACAGCGGGGCCCAGCCATGGCTGGGCTGGAGCGCTTGTGCCTGGCCGCCGAGCCCCCGGCACAGCCGCTAATGGGAAAGGCATGTGGTCAGACCAGCGGCTCTGACAGGGGAAACACCCAGAGCACCATCAGAGCCTCTGGATTCCTGCACTGCCTCACGCCTGCCAGCACCCGACCAGCCCGGGGTGCCACTGCCAGTCCTGCCACCCGCCGGGCCCGTGGTGCTGCGGGAAGGGGAGAAGGAATCTCCAGTGGGCAGAGATGCAGGCAGGGCAGCGGGCAGGGCGTGTGCCGCAGCAGGAGCTGCCCATGGGCACCGCTGCCTGGGGCTGCCCCAGCTGGACGGGGTGGGAGGATGAGCAGAGGCTTTGGCTGGCAGCGGCACGCACAGGGCAGGGGGCTGCAGCCCCTGGGCGGGGGCTTTTGCCAGGCATCGACCCCCCGGCTGAGCCGGCATTGCCTGGGCATCGCCCTCGCTGGGAGCAGATGGGGCGGACGCAGCGCCAGGGCAGCATGAGGGCTCCTGAGCGTTCGGCTCCTTGGGGGCGATGTGTAAGAGGGGATTTTCAGTCCAGCTGCCTCGGTGCTGCCACCAGCCCCAGCACCCACTGGGACCCGCAGGGCCCAGCCCAGTGAAGCCACCGACGAGCAGCAGCCGTGAGGAAGGGCTGAGTGAATGCCTGCAAATCCATCCCACTTGATCATCGTCTGGAGCTGCTGCTATTTATAACAAAGGACTTCTAGTTTTCTAAAAATAATCCCCCGTTGCTGTTCCCGGCGCCCCGGCCAGCTCTGCTGCGCTTTGCTCGCAGGTGCCTGGCCAGTGCCTGGCTCTGCGCAGTGGGGACGGGTCCCTGCAGGCGCGGGGCAGCAGCCCAGGACCATGCAGCAGCTTGGAAGCAGCTCCCAGTGCTCCCAGTCTCGCACCGTCAGCCCCAGTGGGGTCCCAGGGAGGCTGGGGCAGATGCACGGCCCGAGGCGGGAGAAGCCCTGGGACAGCCCTGCCACCCTGCAGCCACCGCAGTGCCTGGCTCTGCGCAGTGGGGACGGGTCCCTGCAGGCGCGGGGCAGCAGCCCAGGACCATGCAGCAGCTTGGAAGCAGCTCCCAGTGCTCCCAGTCTCGCACCGTCAGCCCCAGTGGGGTCCCAGGGAGGCTGGGGCAGATGCACGGCCCGAGGCGGGAGAAGCCCTGGGACAGCCCTGCCACCCTGCAGCCACCGGCGGGGC